AAGGAAAAGTTTCTGTCGCACAAGTGACAAAATTAGGTAACGTTGCCCAAGAAGATCTGAAGGAATTCTTCTGCCCAAAGCATATTTATATAACTCCTGCAGCAACTAAGCAGGATTGTCTGATGGGAATGAGGAGCTCTGAGCAGCCCAGCTTCTCCAGGTGAAGCAGCTTGTAAAGCGTGGGAAGGTAATCAGTCTTCAAGAGCAGCACTCAACATCTGGTGAGCTCTGCTGACACAGAAGCTCACTGAATCACAGCTATTTCTATGTAATGATAGGTGTAGAGATGCTCTGATGAGACATGGCATTAGACAGGACGTAACAGAGGTTGTGCATATATTTATTAAATTAATTTAATGGAATATTTGCAAAGAGATACAAACTACTTAAAATTTAAGAAGGGAAACAAAGAGAAAAAAATTCTCTGTCAGAAGTATTCTAGATTATGGTCAACCATAGTAAAGAATTCTAGATATATATTCTCATGCTTTGGCTGCACAGAAGTTGCAATTAGAAAGAGATTACCTCACTTAAGCAGCTGGAAAAGCAAGTTCTCTTTTAATCATCAATCCACTGCCCACCATAAACCAGCATTGCATGCTGCAATGTAGGCAACGCAGGGTGAAAGAAAACAAACAAGTTGAATGTTAAAGTTAAAATATCCTTAGTATTGTTCCATTGCTGTTTGGGAAATAGCAAATATAAAAGAATAAATCATTTTATCATACAACTGAAGACACTAAGACTAGTTTCTGTAAAAAATTAAAATCCATACATTGCAGAATGTCTTAGTTTCTTCAAGAAGTCTTTCCTCTAGATCAGGCATGGACAATATTATAAATATCTGGAATCTCTGGAAAAAAGGCCTTTTGTACATAAATATATTGAGAATCTGAGGATGTGCCTTTTCTTTTATTTATGCAAAGTTATGTTGGAGCACTAGCTCTGATTTGTATTCATTTTCTAGTACCTGGCATGAATATCCCTATGGCACAGAGAATGACCAGAAGTTCATTCCTACTAAATATGTCAGGATCGTCTTGTCAGTGCAGGGCACACATCAGTGAGACTTAGGAAATGGATCAAAAAGCAATTATCAAACATATTCTTAACTTAGTCAACTCTACTTTGGGCAAATGTCTGTACCATGAAACTCAGCACCAGAATAATAATCTTTTGCTATGTTTCTGCATCATTTCGGGGGGAAGGATAGAATAACCACTGAAAACCAAACTTGCTTTCAATGTTAGGTAAGGGACCTGCTGAGGAAGCAGAGGATTCTATCTCACCAGTCTGTTAATGTTGCATTGTTTGGGGTTTTGTTCTTCCTTCATGTAACTCTCTCATAACCCCTCCTGGTGCTGCTGTTACTTGTTCAGTTTTCTCCTATATCTGTACAACTACTCCATTCGTTTATTACTGCCCTAAAAATACATGACTTAGGCACCATGAGTTTACTGTCCACACAGCTCCTTTCTTTGGAAAATACAGGGTCTTGAGTGAGCTCTCTGTTCTCTCTGCCTTTGAACAGGGAAAGATTTTGGAAAACTTTGGCATCTGCACTCAGGTGAGCTTTGTGCGGTACATGCAAGGAAGAAAGACTCTGGGGGCAGACCCAAAGCTCTTCATCGAGGATCTGTGGTTTGAGAAAGTGCCTGTAAGGATTTACCAGCCTAAGGCTCCATCTGCCAGCCAAAGGAGAGGAGTTGTGTTTTTTCATGGAGGAGGATGGGTATTTGGAAGTCTTGGTAAGATAACTACCAGAAATATTTCAATTAAAGAAATACATACTTCATAAATACTAAAGCTGGTTGTTTCTTGATCTGTAGCAGTTGCAAACTTTGAATATAACCACAGGTTCAATCTTGTAATTCTTGCTGTCAGAAGAAGGCATCTGCTGTGGATCACGTGATTTTTCTTACAGGACGATATAAGGGGAAAAAATACTGAAATAGGAAGATGAGGAGGTACAAAAGAATTGAGGAGATTTGTAGGAAGCAGCAGGGGAAAGAAGAGAGCATTTCCTTCTTGAAATTATTTAATTCCTCCAATAGATAACATCTCTTCTCTGGTGAGAAAATGCAACCCAACCTAAACCCAAACCCCACCAAATCTCTTTCAGAGACCCACGAAGAGCTGTGCCGCTTTATTGCCAGAGAAAGTGAATCTGTGGTTGTGTCTGTGGGGTGAGTCTTTGTTCACGCTGATTATGAGAGATTATTTCCTATAGTGTAAATATCACCTCCTATCCCTCAGTCACAGCAACAATCTTCCTCAGAGAAATGTCTCTGTGGGATTTCTCAAGTATGTGATTTACAACTTCATTTGCTGTTGCTTGGAGACACTGAAGACTCACTCGGGCTGTTTTCACTGTCTGATTGCATCACAAATTACACTTCGGGATATCTAGCTGGAAAATGAAGTTTTGAATGAATATTTTCAAATTCCAAACTCAAAACTGATTGTAAACAGATAGTAAGCTATATGATGTCCTTAACATTTATTCAAGGAAAGCCTGCTTGATGCTTAGAGAAGCACAGTGTGAATGACAAGCTAATACATTATCAAAATATTGGAATAATGGTTCAGATTACAAGGATATGTAATGTAACTTTATGTAACAAAGATACAAACCAGAAGTCATTTGTGTCCAACCCATGAAAAACTGAAGCAGAAAGTAACTAAATGATTGTCAATGAAACCTACACTTAGTTGGCAGCTGAGTACTCCTGTGTTGTTAAAGACTTAAGAGACATCATAAACAGATGATATCATAACAGATGATATCATAACAGAATAATCTGCACCACTTAATCTTATTGATGGTAATCCTCTGGAGACAATTAAAACTCTTCAGAAGTCAGGGTGTTCCTGGTTGCAGGAAAGAGGACTTTAGCAATACATTTGAAACTCGTATTTCCCTCTCTTCCACCTGTCTCCGTGCCCCAGGTACCGTTTAGCCCCCGAGCACAAATACCCCGCTGCCTACGAAGACTGCCTGAGCGCCACCCTGCACTTCCTGCAGCACCTGCAGCACTACGGCGTGGATCCTGCCCGCGTCACCGTCTGCGGGGACAGTGCTGGGGGCAACCTGGCAGCTGCTGTCAGCCAGACCCTGGCAGGCAGCTCAGAGCTCCCCAGACTGCGCGCTCAGATCCTCATCTACCCCGGCCTGCAGGCACTGGACTTCAATTTACCATCCTACCAACAAAACCGGGGAGTCCCGCTGCTCTTCCGGGAACGTGCCGCTTTCTACATGTTGCAGTATCTAAATGGAAATGCAACAAAACTGGAAGAGGTCTTGGAAGGTTCCCATATTCCTGTAGATATTAAATTTAAGTATAAAAAGTGGGTGAGTCCAGACAACATCCCTGAGGAATTTAAGGTCAGAGGCTACAAACCGCGTGTGCTACTTGACTGCACAACTGAAGTTTTTGAGACAGTGAAGAGATTCTGTGAGCCCACGCTGTGCCCACTGCTGGCTGAAGACACAATCATCCAGCAGCTGCCAGAAACTTTCATCCTGACCTGTGAGTACGACGTGCTGAGGGATGATGGCTTGCTGTACAAGAAGAGGCTGGAGGACAATGGGGTTCGAGTGACCTGGCACCACCTTGAGGATGGATTCCATGGAGTCATAAACTCATTCAGTAGTGACTGGTTGTCATTTCCAGCTAGAAAAAGGGGACTTGACAAGATTGTGAATTTTCTAAGAAGCTTATAGCAACATTTTTCTTTGTTTCTGTAAGAACTGCCAAATTTCTGTAGCCTTTTATGCTTCTAAATTCCATATAAGAAGTTCATATAGGACAATTTGTTAATAAGCATTTATGTCAGTGTGATCACCATAAAAGACATTTCAAGAATAGTTTCTTTTAGTGCTGTTTGAAGTAGTGCATGTGCAGCCTGCCTATTTTAATAATCAATTTGGACTAGACACTTGTACAGTACAAGTGCTGCTCTCTCAGTACCTAAAAAAGATGCAGTAAAATTTTAGGCCAACATCTGGTCTGACCTGTTTTATTCAATTGCAGTTGACAATTTCATTCTTCCTAGAAGTGTGTGCTTTGGCAAAGGAGAAAGACACAGACACTACAGTGCTATAATGCACAGCCTGTACTCTCTGCTACACGTAGCACCTGAGTTTAAGAGTCCCAATTTGAAGATGATGTCTGTTGGCTAGGTAACCAGCATTTTATACTCAAAAATATGAAGTCACATTAGTTAACTTGACTTTTAAAAATGTAACTCCTCCCAACAGAAATACTCTATTGACAGCTTTGTTTAAATTGCAATGTGAAAAATGCTATAAGTGTTTTCTTGTGTTTATCAAACATATGTGTACACTGAAAATCTTGTTATAGTGCTTGAATAGAATCCTAGAATCACAGAATGGTTTGGGTAGGAAGGAACATAAAGCTCATCTCATTCCAAAGCCCTGCCATGGGCAAGGACACCAGGTCTAGCCAAGGTTGCTTCAAGCCCCAAATAATCTAGCAATAAAACAGGACTGATGCATTTACTTTTGCAGAGTCTGTTACTTGCCTTTTGCCCCCACCTCTCCCTTCTTCCCGTTTTCTTTTCCAAATGTCCCTGTTAAAGGTATGTGCTCCAAACCATGTAAAACATGCCCACAATGCAGGAAGTGAATGCCCTGGCTGCAGATCAGTTGCAAGGGATAATCTGCTGGCTCTCTGTCATAGACTAGAACTTCATTCAGGACTCAGCTTCAGTCTCTGAGCACTCACTGTTATCATCCACAATCCAAGAATACCAGACCCTTTATCAGTCCCACAATTACCATCAACATCAACAGGAAATTAAACACATTGACTCTTCTCCAATGTGATAACTGCTTGCACATTACACAACATTTCTAAGGACTTTAAATTGAGCAACACCTGAGAGATCTCTTGCAACTGGGACTGCTCCAGGCCTTGCTGTTACCTGAAAAAGACAATTCACATTGTGTGAAGATACATCACCTCTGGATACGTGAAATGGCATTTTTTTATCTACTGCCAGTGATACTGCTGGTGATTTTTGTTGCTTCATTCATATCAGCAATCATAAGAACAATTCAAACTGAGTATGCCAATTGCAGCATCCCTCCTGGAGTGAGCAGTCCCGGAAAACTTCGACTTATTGTTGCTGCTTTGATTGTTACATCTACTCTGGTGAGTAACTCTGCTGCAACTTCTGTGAGAAATGTTGTTAGATGTTAATTTTGTTCTACGTGTAAATACCAGAATCCTGCCAACTCCATCAAGGCTTAAATAATGGCATTTCTCTTCTGGGGGCTGACTTGAGAGGACAGTTTTTGGAAAATCATTTCTATTAGACCTCAGTCAGATTTTCCCTATTGCATAAGGATTAAGTCAACCATAAGAGCCCAAGCTTTATCAGCTGAGCTTCCCTAATTAAATTTAAAATTAAATATTTATAAAAACTGAGATTGCTTTGATTTCCACTTTAGCTAAGCACACATGATGTTTTTAGGCCATTCTTGGGGCTTTCCAGTAACATGGGAGGCTGGGTAATGTAAGTACCAGTAATGGGAGACTGGATGCTTTTAAAGAAGACAAGAACAGAAACTCCAGAAACCTTAGAGGGATGAGAGACACTTGGGAGCACTGGCAAGGCCTCCCTCTCCAGGAGCTCCTTCACCAACCACCCTTCACTCTTCAGGAGCCCCGTCACCAATTGCCCCTCACCAGGCGTCCCTTCAATGAGTGTCCCTCACCAGCTGCCCTTCTCCTGGTGCCCCCTCACCAGGTACCCCTCACCATTTGCCCCTCACCAGTTGCCACTCGCCAGCTGCCCTTCTCCTGGTGACCCTCACCAGCTGCCCCTCACACGGTTCTGCCTTCTCCTGGTGCCCCTCACCAACTGTCCCTCACGCAGTTCTCCCATCTCCAGCTGCCCCTCACCCGGTTCTGCCTTCTCCTGGTGCTCCTCACCGGCTGCCCCTCACACAGTTCTCCTTTTCCTCGTGCCCCTCACCAGCTGCCCCTCAAGCAGTTCTCCCTTCTCCTGATGTCCCTCACCAACTGTCCCTCACGCAGTTCTCCCATCTCCTGGTGCTCCTCACCGGCTGCCCCTCACACGGTTCTCCTTCTCCTGGTGCCCCTCACCAGCTGCCCCTCACACAGTTCTCCCTTCTCCTGGTGCTCCTCACCAGCTGCCCCTCACACGGTTCTGCCTTCTCCTGGTGCCCCTCACCAGCTGCCCTTCACACAGTTCTCCCTTCCAGCTCCCCCTCAGCGGCGGCCCCCTCAGGGCTGTCCATGCGCGGTCTCCCCTCAGTTCACTCCCGCTGTCCTCCCTCTCCCAACAGGGCAGGATTTTTGAGAAGATGGAGCTGTGCAGCAGCCTGGCCTTCAGGCGCCTGGTGTTCTCCGGGCGGAGGCCGGGCCCGGCTCCGGGGGTGCGGCAGGAGGACGGGCGGTTCGGGCGGGTGCCCGTGCGGCTGTACCGGCCCCGGGCCCCGGCCCCGTGCTCCGCCGTGCTGCTGTTCCACGGCGGCGGCTGGATCTGCTGCAGCCTCGGTACGACCCGGGCCCGGCTCTGCCGCCGGTCCCCTGTCCCTGTTAGCCCCGCACTGCTTTAGCATTGACCGTGTGTGTGTGGCCGACAGAATTCCGGCCTCCGCACGGGAGCTGATACAAAACTTTTCCACCTGTTTATATACTTCTAGCAAGCAAAGAAATTGATGCCCGTTCATTCTAAATTACTTAATTCTCTTTCATAAATTGGTATTCTATCCTCTTTGGTCTTTTTAGTGTATTTTTCCTCTGGTAGGGACTTTCCAATGTACTCAGTCTTTTGTTAGCTGCTTCTTTTCTACAAAATCTCCTTGTAGTCCATAAATTCTGCCCCAACAATACACACCCTCTCCCAGGCCTTGTTCTTTGAAGCATATCAGGGTTAGTTTGGCAAAACTTTTAAAAGTTTCAGTGATTTTCCCAGTCAAGTCAACAATAATAGTCTGTGTAAAAAAAGTTAGCTACATGCTGCCTAAAAGTGATTTAAGACTAGCACACTGCTTATAATTAATATACTGGTTATAATTAATTAAAATAATAATTAAAAATTAATTAGAAAAGTTATATAACTTCCAGCAGCTGGAAGGCTGAACTCCAGCTGGGCTTTCCCATCCAGGGCTGTGAAGGGAGGGGAGGGAAGGGCAGGGGGAGAGGGATGAGGGGACCTGGACCATTTGTAGGCAGTAAAACATCCCTCCATGTGTTTCAGATTCCCATGAAAGGATCTGCCAGTACATTGCCAAGGAAAGCGGCTCGCTGGTGGTGTCCGTGGGGTGAGTTACAGCCAGCTGCCCCAGAGAAGCCTTTTTGCCTCTTGTTGCCTCTCAGCACTGGAGGAATGTGCACCGGGTGGGAATGCTCCTCTTCAGGACCTGGACACCATCATCCTCATGGGTCCCTTCCAGCTCAGCATTTTCTATGGATCCCAGCCTCCAGAATTTCAAGAGGGCTGTTTGTTTTTCATTTCTCTCCCTGCTCCATCAGCTACACATTGCAGACACAGCTCACAGTAAGGCCCATGTGTGTCCCAGCATAGAGCTATGCTGGCACCACACAAAACCAAGGAATGCTTTCCAGAAGAGAGTTCCAATGTGTTGAGAATGACTAATAAACCGACTTGGAAGGTGACACTTCACTGATCCATTTAAATAGGTGTAATTATCTTGTGAACTTCAAGGAGCTTTCTAACAGTGAGAATCAAATGCTAGTAAGTAATAATACTACTACTAATTAGTACTATTAATACCAGTAATACTGAAAAATATCACTGTCCCAGTTATTTAAATAAAAATAATTATAAAAATGAAATATACTAAGTAACAGTGAGGTGCAGATTGATTAAATTAGTTAATCCACAAACCAGAAGCAGTCTACACTAGAAGAGAAAAATAAAGTTACATCGCTTGATTTGTGATCAGGGCTGCTCTCAGAATATCCAAACCATGCTGTGTTCTTGCAGCCCCATCCTATGACTCACTTCTCTCTGATTACTCATTGGACAAATACCTGCTTAGTAGATGAAAATACCTTCATGAGTTGTTTTTTTTGATGAGGGAAAAATTATTCCAACACAGGGAGAACCAGGATGCTGTAGAAATTTTGTATTGACACTTGTGACATTTCCTTCTGTTTGTGCCCCAGGTACCGTTTAGCCCCCGAGCACAAATACCCCGCTGCCTACGAAGACTGCCTGAGCGCCACCCTGCACTTCCTGCAGCACCTGCAGCACTACGGCGTGGATCCTGCCCGCGTCACCGTCTGCGGGGACAGTGCTGGGGGCAACCTGGCAGCTGCTGTCAGCCAGACCCTGGCAGGCAGCTCAGAGCTCCCCAGACTGCGCGCTCAGATCCTCATCTACCCCGGCCTGCAGGCACTGGACTTCAATTTACCATCCTACCAACAAAACCGGGGAGTCCCGCTGCTCTTCCGGGAACGTGCTGTTTTCTATTCCTTGCAGTACGTACAAGGGGACACATCAAATCTGGAAGAGGTTTTGGAGGGCTCTCATATTCCTCCAGACATGAGGCTGAAGTATAGGAAGTGGGTGAGTCCAGACAACATCCATGAGGAATTTACGGTCAGAGGCTACAAACCACACAAGCCCAGTGAATTCAAGCCTGAAGTTTTTGAGAAAGTGAAAAGAATCCGTGAGCCCACACTGTGTCCACTGTTTGCTGAAGACACAATCATCCAGCAGCTGCCAGAAACTTTCATCCTGACCTGCGAGTACGACGTGCTGAGGGACGATGGCTTGCTGTACAAGAAGAGGCTGGAGGACAATGGGGTTCGAGTGACCTGGCACCACCTTGAGGATGGATTCCATGGAATCGTAAACCTATTTGATTATTATGGTTTGTCATTTCCATCTGGGAAAAGGGGATTGGACAGGGTTGTTGCATTTATAAAAGGCCTGTAAAAAGAACTCTCCCTCATTATGCTTCTCCCCCTAATGACTCTGCTTAGGCTCTCACACTTCAGGTAGTGCTGCTCTGCAAGATTGTGACACCTTTAGATCTGTAAAATTCTATTTCTAAGATCCATGAACTTCAAATTAACACAGATCTTTTCCTTGTGAGACTTCTGACAGTTCAATCTTTTGGCAGTACAATTTTTTTTCAAATTGGCACCTGATCGATTCCTTGTCTTTAATTACTAAATTATTTACTTCTATACAAATAATCTATGTGGAATGATTCGGATTAAATGTTGTTCACTACATCCAGTTTATTTGTGATGTCCATTTGATAAGCTCCAAAGCATGAGTTAATTTAGCTAAAAAGTATAAGCTAGATAGATAGTGAGGAAGGGAAAACTCTGGACAAATAGGCAGAGATCAAGATCTCAGTGAGGAGATTGCATGGCTGCAAAAGTAGCAGTGCAAGGCCAGAATTGATGAGGCACACCTAGCTGGAGGCAAGTAAGGGCTACTCTGATTTTGAAATAATTGTAGCTCAACAAAGTCCTTTTTAATTTTGGAAAGTCTCCACTATGCCCACGGAGGGTAGGATATAGCGTTGAGATGAACTGCTGACATCAGGATTTAGAAAGGCAGGAAGGATCAGTGAACTGGGCTCTTGGTCTGTGTGTACTGAAAGGTACAGCTTAAAGAGAGAATATGAGGGAAAACATTTTCATGTTCTTCCAAAGGGTGTCCCCCAGTATTAACTTTTGCAGAATCTGTGCTGTGATTCTGTGCTAGGATCTGTCGATTTGTGCTTTCTCCATGGCTTGAGTTTTATTTACAGGATGAGCCAGTGATTTCCCTGATATGATGCTTCATTACACCCTACTGATGAAAGCAAGGAAGAGCAGCAGTGAGCACACTCAGAACGGCCAGATTGAGGATGTGAAAATCACAGAATTGCTAGGGTTGGAAATGATCTGTGGAGATCATCCAGTGCAATCCCCCACCAAGGCAGGGTCACCTGGAGCAGGTGATGAAGGAACACATCCAGGTGTGCTTCAAATGTCTCCAGAGAGGGAAACTCCGTGGGCACTGTCCCAGTGCTCCATCACCATCAATGTAAAGCAGTTCTTCTGCATGTTAAGGTGAAACTTGTGTTTTAGTATATGCTCATTGCTCCTCGTCCTAAGGAAATCCTCAGGAAAAAAGGGAAAAAAATCCTACAGTGCTGAGAAAAACACAACTATTTCCAAAAACAAATGCTGGTTTCCGTTAGATTTCCCTACCGCGCGCAGGTCACGCCGGGCCTCCTTGAACCGAGATTACCCGGCCGGCGCCTCCGGCCGCTCGGCGCGGCTCCCCCCGGCCGCCCGCAGCATGACCCCTGCGCCGGCTTTGCGCGTCCGCTCCCCGGTACCGCGCGCAGGTCACGCCGGGCCTCCTTGAACCGAGATTACCCGGCCGGCGCCTCCGGCCGCTCGGCGCGGCTCCCCCCGGCCGCCCGCAGCATGACCCCTGCGCCGGCTTTGCGGAGCGGCCGCACTCGGCCCGTGACGGGGCCGCGGCTCTGCCGAGCGCTGCCG